CGCCCCCCCCCCCCCGACTAACGGGCACACCCTCCCCATAACGCCCCCCCGCTGGTGGTTTGGCGCACTCCCCCTCAACTAACGGTACTCCCCGTCAACGACGGGCACCCCACCCCCATTGTGCACACTCGTCTCTGCTTACGGGCGCCTCGTGGTGACGTGTTCGGACGGCGCAGAGCTCTAGGGAAATATGTAGTTCCGCTGTATTTCCTGGACAGATACACTGTATTCCCTGATCACATACACTGTATTTGTTACGCTAAACACTGTATTCCCTGAGCAGATTTACTGTATTTCCTCGTCAGATACACCGTATTCCCTCTCTCGTTCTCCGTATCACTTCACCAACTAAACTGTATGCCCTGGTCAGGATCCCTGGATTCCCTCATCCGATTCACCATATTGCTTGGAGCAGATTCAATGTACTCCCTGGTCAGATACACCGTATTCCCTCGTTCGTTTCACTGTATTTCTTCATCAGATTCACTTTCTTCCCCCATCCGATATGCTGTGCTATGGAATATGCCGTGCCATGGAGTACAGTGAATCTGACGAGGAAATACAGTGTATCTGATGAGGGAATACAATGATCTCCTCAGGGAATACAGTGGAGTATCTGACAAGAGAATGGTACAGAGTATCGGCTCAGCGAAGACAGCATGTATGATCAGGGAATGCGGTGCATTTGACGAGGGGATATAGAGCATCTGACGATGGAATACAGCATATCTGATCCGGGAATGCAGTGAATCGGACGAGAGGGTATAGTACTTTTGACAAGGGAATGGCTCAAAACCACGTATCTGCTCCACCAACCTTGGAGACATGAGTCCCCGTGGGTGGGCATTTCTCACCACCCACTGGTCCAATCGGGGTGCGCGATGGCTTCTATGACACAATACAAGTCTTAGCAGGACAAACGATGTCATACGGATGGAGGTCAGCCTGGTGGAGCAGTTTGCTTATCTGGTCCACCGGCCGTTGAGCCACTGAGACCCGTGGGTGGGGGGTGGGTGTTTCCCTTCACCCCCTGGTCCGATCGGCGTGCCCGATGGCCTGAATGATAGCTGTGGGACGTGCCAACACGATGAAAGTCGTCGTAGCAAACCGCACCCCGTTCATAGAGTTTCGCCAGTTGGAGCAGTCTAGCTTATCTGCTCCACCGGCCGTTGAGCCACTGAGCCCCCGTGGGTGGGCCGTTCCCTTCACCCACTGGTCCGATCGGGGAGTGCGATGGCTTGAATGGTAGCTGTGAGCCGTGACGACACAGTGCATGCCTTAGTAGGACGAACACCACCCATTACATAGAGTTTGGCCTGGTGGAGCAGTTTAGCTTCTCTGCTCCATCGGCCGTTGAGTCACCGAGCCTCCGTGGGTGGGCGTTTCTCTTCACCCACTGGTCCGATCAGGGTGCATGCTGGCTTGAATGATAGCGGTGAGCCGTGCCAACACAGTGCGGGCAGAGGAAGGCATGGTTCCGCTATGCGGCGGGAGATATACCGGGACAATTGACATTTACCTCCCCCACCTAGACCCCCCCCGGTGTTTGCCATCGGGGTTGGGTTTTCGTCGCTTGGCAACGGCGTTGTAAAACAAGCCGCCCCCCCCGGTGTTTGCCATCGGGGTTGGGTTTTCGTCGCTTGGCAACGACGTTGTAAAACAAGCCGCCCCCCCCGGTGTTTGCCATCGGGGTTGGGTTTTCGTCGCTTGGCAA